GTGTGTGTGTGTGTTTCACACTTGAACTAAAACGGGATTGTTTGTTGATGAGAGCTTAATATAGAGTTTGAACCATATGGGCCGTGCTTGCATTGTTTTGCTGTGTATGTTTTGGTTAAACATGGTAAGTCTAATCACTAATGTTGCTTGAAGTTGCTGTGGAAACTAAAGATTAATGTGACATTGATTGATTCATATTTTTTGGTAATTAACTGGGGTTTTTTTACATGACAGGACTGAGGTCAGTGTTCATTTATATGATTTTGCTCGTCGATTGGGACGTCTTTCGATCTGCAAACTACAAACACACCACAAACATTACCGATTTTCTTACTTTTCAGATTTATTTCCCTTATGGTCAAAAATGTGATCAAAGAGAAAAAGCCCGATCAGCAGATTTCTGTAATGCTTTGTCTGCAGGAAACTCGCCTGGTTTGTTCATTAAAACAGTTCACACAGACATATTCAATTTTTTTTCCAGTTGAGGACCACATACAAAACTGGCTGACGTTTTTTCTTTGTGTTGTCAACCTGAGGGAATGAAAATCCTGTTTGTAAGTCTACATGCAGTGTATTTACATTATTCATACAGTCATTTGGGAGACATCAAACCAAAGGGTGAATAAGGGAAAGTAAATATAGATGTCAGCCAAAAGCCATTAATCAAAACCAAATTCAGTTCTGTCCTTGAACTTGTCCTCTTCAAAATATTGGACGTGGCATTTTCCTAAAGCATCAGTAATGTAATATTTAAAACTTCTCATGAACTTTAACCCCTTAACTTTAACTGCTTTACTTGCTGTTTTCAAAATCAGGTTTTAAGTTGTTAAAATCAATTTAGTCCCTGTTATTTGACAGTATCACACAGTATATATTCTGATCAGTTTATTCCAACTCTACATTGAAGCTATATGATGCGTAAATGGCAACACAATGGAATCAATAGGAAAAATATAGATGTCTTGTTGTGCATTATTTTATTCCCATTTCCAGAAAAGTCAGGTTGGTGTATTAGTTTTTAATTGATATTTTAGAAATAATTGATTTACGAGAATATAAAATAAAGTATAAAGGTTTTAAATGTTCATGTGTATCAGGTAAAGTGTGTGTGGTGGTTTTGGGTAAAGTCATTATGCGGTTTTAATGATTTTGCTGCTGTTTTTATGGAAATGTAAAAAATGATTGGCTGGATTTGTTACTCTTGTTACTCTTGTTCGCATTCTCACCACCCGTCCTCTCTGTCCCAGCCCCTGGTCAAACAGGACAGTCTGGACACGTACAACGAGCGGGACCCCTTCAAGAACGATGACGCGCGGGACGAGGAGGAGGACCCTGAGGACACTGACAGCGGCATCGAGGGCGAGGTGGACCCCCTGGACCGTGATGTCATCATCCAGCCTCCGCCTCCGCCGCCTCCTCTGAGACCTCCAACAGAGAGGGTCAACTTCCCCAAGGGCCTCCCCTGGGCCCCTAAAGTCAGGTTGACTGCTCAGTTTTTGTTTTCGGATTCAGCTTTCAACAGCACCTAAGAGACTTTTTTAAGAATTAAAGGCTGTAAGTGAGGTTAGAAAGGGTGCTGTAGCCTTTTACTTCTCTCATACTTGAAAATGATATATTCAGCAGGAGCACACAAAACGGCGTTACAAACAGCTTATGCGAAAGCTTTCTATGAAAAATAACAGGCATTAATTACTTGACCTCCTAAAACGATCCCCAGCAGATGTTTTAGTCGTCAAACAGCATTCCTGAGAATAAAACCTGTAAATTATGGTTGGCCACCTGCCATTTTAACCACTACATAAGAGGAACCTTCACTTGACAACCAGAAATGAATGATTATTTTCTGGAGGCTTTGAGAAATTAAAGCTAAATATATGAAATCATCCCTCCTCGCTCTCTCATCCAGCAATATGCTCTCCATCTGTGTTTACCAGACAGAAGCCTGTGTGTCTCTGCAGGGTGCTCGCTCGCTCGCTGCTGCTTTGAGTTCATGAATAATACATCTCAGAGAGGACACTTTATATTATTCATCATGCCTCAATATCTTCAAACCTCAATATCTGCAAACCTAAAGTGTGTTTATGTCCATGTCTGCAACACACAGACCTGATCAGTAGCAGCTTTTGAACCCATTGCACAGAGAGAGCAGCTGATAGTGTGACTGAAATGCTTTGAGTACACTCGTGTGTGTTTGTGTGGGTGTGTACAGCCTTGAAAATCCTGTGATTAGTTGCCTGTTCAGATACATAATTGTAGCAGCAGGCGTTCAGAGATGGATCTAAAATCTGACTGCAGCCTGTCTGTACGTCCACAGGGAGAAAGACATCGAGCACTTCCTGGAAACCAGTAGAAACAAGTTCATCGGCTTCACTCTGGGAAAGTACGTGTTTCTTCTGAGACGTCCTCGTATTATTCTTTAAAACTTTGCTCTCAGTGTCTGCTCTAACTGATGGTTGTGTTGCAGTGACACAGAGACCTTGGTGGGATTACCCAGACCCATCCACGAGAGTGTCAAGACTCTGAAACAGGTGAGCATCTCCTTCTATAGTTCTGACTCAAATGTCCTTCTCCTTCGTCTTTTCCTTGGCTCATTATAGTCTCCTAATCAATACTCCCTCGCTGCTGAATCCCCTGACACTGAAATCCCACTTAAAAATCCATACGTCCTGTTTAAACAGACTGAGAGGTGTAGTTACACAGATTAACTTTGGTTGTCAGTCAGCAATGCTAATTAACACTTCCACTTCGATTTACAGTATGTACTTTTCTTTTTCAGCACAAATATGTGTCTATTGCTGAGGTCCAGATCAAGAGGGAGGACGAGCTGCAACAGTGTCCGCTGACTCTGGTATTTTTATTAACTTAGGATTTAGATGCTCTTCTCAAAAACCTTGAGATGAATGGAGTTTTTGAAGTGTGTGTGTCATGTGTGTTGTGTTGTACAGGGGGAGGAGGAGGTGGAGGAGACTCCAGCAGAGATCCTGTACCTGGGTATGCTTCCTAACCTCTCCCAGTATGTGGTGAGTATCCAGCTAAATTGATCTAACTTGAGTAAAATGTGGGTTTGAATTTAAGTTGGAAACAGATCTTGAAATGTTTTGAAATACCTGCTGTATGTTTTTTTTTTTTTTTCCCAATACATATAATGTAAGTCACATACCATTTTTTTGTTTCTGCAACCCTTCATGTGGATATAAAGTAATTAAACAGATGAATTGAGGAAAAGCATATGGAGTTCAAGGAAGATTTTTTTGATAATCAGACATTTCTTTTGCGTATTACCATTCTGTTGATATGGGAGAAGCAATTTAAAGCTCTTGAACTAGGCTAAATTCACCCTTCTCTAAGATGATGAATGTGTCAATCTATGTTGTGATGTTTTTTTCTTATTATTTTCCTGTGACAGATTGCCCTCCTGAAGCTGCTGCTGGCTGCAGCCCCCACCTCCAAAGCCAAAACGGACTCTATCAACATCCTGGCTGACGTGCTGCCTGAGGAGATGCCGTGAGTCCTCTCCCAGACTGCACTGCAGAGCTACTACAGTAGCTGATTGGGTTTAGTTTTTATAAAATTTAGAATTTTGATGAAAAACTATTAGAAATATAGTTTCATTTGGTTGTTTTTCTTCAGGGGACTTGCTGACACTGACAGGTTTCCTTTTGCGAAAAAGATTTAAAAAAAACGTCTTGAAAAGATTCACAACCCAGTCTTATATTTGTATCGCTGAAATTCTTTTTAGCTTGCCATCGATGGAAAATACACTTGTTTTCAAAGAGGAATGAGCTGTCAGTCTCTGAATGCTTTTTTTTCTTTTATGGAGACAAAGCTGTATTATTATAGACTCGAAGGCCTTACGGTGTGTGTGTGTGCATGTGCGTGTGTGTGTGCGTGTGTGTGTGTGTGTGTGTGTGTGTGTGTGTGTGT